AAGAGGGAAAGAAGCTGTAGAAACTCTCCATGTATGTGTAGAGCCTGGATTAGATGCCAGCTGGCCTGGAGGCAGAATGGCCAGGGTGACCTCCAAAGCACCCCAGTGGCAGGAAGGAAGCTGTTTGACCCCTCTTGGCTCAACACACCCACAGAAGCCCAGCACTTCACTCCCACCCAGGGAGTGCTCTCGACTCCTGGCATTGCCTCTGATAAGCAGAACAAGGCTGGATGGAATAATGGTCTGAGATGAGCTGGTAAGGGAGGAGAGGATGCTGTTCCAGAGAAAGAGAGGGAAGATGCACAAGTTGGTAAAAGACAGCTGAGCCAGCCCAGACCCCTTGGGTTTGGCTCCCATGGCCCCCACTGCTTAGCCCAGGGCCAGGATGGCCTGTCTCGTTCCTGAACTCTGTAGCCGAGGGCAGAGGCAGTTGTGGGGCTAGGAGGGGCTCTGTCTTCGTGACCTGGGGCTCTCACAGGAGGCGAGCCATCTGTAATGTCTGGAGTAAGGGTCTTGGCCAATGGAGGACACAGGCCTCCTCCCTAGCTGCTGCTGCTGTGTGACATGTACTGTAGAGGATGTGCCATTGCGTAAAGGGCCAGGACGCTGGCCCGGTGTTGGAGGCGAGTTCCCATTAACTGAGCAGCACCTTCTTGGTGGCAGGTGTTCACTGTACCGCCCACAGTGGCTGCACCAGTGCTCAAACCCAGGCAGCTGGTCCTAGATCTGCTGGTAGACAATCTGGGTGAGATTTTCTGACTTCAGTTTTCTCCTTTGGTAATAGGTGTAATTGCTGGCCTTTCTACAGGCAGTAGGGAGGTTTACTGTGAAGTTGATGGGGCTAATGCTTCAAGACCATCACTAGTAATGTGATGTCCCTAAACCTTTTATTATTCTTTTTTTAACGTTTATTCATTTTTGAGGGTGAGAGAGAGGGAGGGAGGGAGGGAACGGGGGAGGGGCAGAGAGCGAGAGGGAGACACAGAATCCGAAACAGGTTCCAGGCTCCCAGCTCTGAGCACAGGGCCCGATGAGGGGCTCGAACTCCTGAGGGCCTCAAACTTATGAACCGTGAGATCATTCATGACCTGAGCCAGTGAGATACTCAACCAACTGAGCCACCCACGCACCTCTAAGCTTTTTATTTTTAATTTAAATTTGTAAAGTAGTTTTATTGGAATATAATTGCCATATAGTGAACTATACATACATATTTGAAGTGGATAATTTGGTTGAGTTTTGACAGACATATACACCTATGAAACCAATTACTATCATCAAGAGAATAAACATACCCATCTTAACCTAAAATGATCTTAGCCTAATTTTGGTTTATATTTTAAATTCTTTTTCTCAATGAGAGCCTTCCAATTTTTAGATGCTTTAGGCTCCCCCCAAATCTGGATTTGTTCCTGCATGGAGAGGGTCAAATGAGACCGGGATAAGAAATCACTTTAAAAATTATGTTGGACTAATCAGGAGTAAAAGGGTATTTGCTTTTCTATAACTTGTACCTTACCTATAGAAGGCTAAAGAGCCTTGTGGGACATTTGGCCAGTATCATATCACTATTTAACATTATCCCTTATTCATTTAACAATGTTTGTGGGAACCTGCTACAGAAAACTGCAGGCAGTGTTCTAGGTGTTGGGTGTGAATCCCTGTTCTCAGGAGCTTTCCTTCTGCTGGGAGTGGGGAGGAGGTAGGCAATGCTCCGAGTAGGCAGCTCAGTAAGTAGGCAGATCACACGGCATGTGAGAAGGTGCTATGAGAACAGTAAAGACAGTAGGCAGTCCAAGGTGGGTAGGCGGGGGCTGACCTCAGTTTTCAGGGGAGTGTTCAGGGAAGTGGTCTCTAAGGCAATGGCATCTGAGCAAAGAAGGTGTCAAGGGTGTGAAGGTGAGGTTGTGGGCCACATGTGACTGGGCTGAGAACAGGGCACATAAAGGCTTTCAGATGGGCATGGGTCAGGCAGGTCTTAGGAACAGCCAGGAGACCAAGTAGCAGGTGACATAAGTTCAGGGAGGGGCTGAGCTGGGGATGGAGTGAACAGATCCTGTGGGTCTCTCTAGGCCATTGTAGGGACTTGGACACTTATAATCTGAGGGAGATGGGAAGCCACTGGAGGGTGTTTGAGCCACAGGATTGCTGTGGCTGCTGTGTTGAGAATAGGCTGATCAGGGGATCCAGGTAGAAGGCTATTCTAATAGTTGAGGCCAGGGAGGATGGGAGCTTGGACCACGGAGGGTAAGGTGGTGAGAAGTGTCTAGATTCTGGTTATACAATTGACCTTTGAACAATGTGGGGGTTAGAGATGCTACCCTCCCCCCAGACACAGTAGAAAATCCACGTATAACTTGAACTCCCCCAGAACTTAACTACTAACAGCCTGCTATTGACCAGAGCCTTATCAATAATATAAACAGTCGATTAAGACATATTTTGTATATCTATTCACTATATCCTTATAGTAAAATAAGCTAGAGAAAGGAAAATGTTATTTAAAAAATCCTAAGGAAGAGAAAATACATATGGTATTGTGCTGTATTTATTAAGAATAATTCATGTGTAAGTGGACTTGTGCAGTTCAAACCCATGTTCTTCAAGGGTCGGCTGTCAAGATTTGCTGATATACCCTTTATTTGACAAAGAGGGCCAGATTTTGGAGATGCCGACCTGAATGGGGATGTGTAGTCTCTTGCTCTGAGGTGTTGAGAATCTAACAGAAAAGACAGATAGAACTGATAGGTTGCTCCCTGCACACAAGGTGTGGGCTAGAGGAGCAGCATGGGAACACAATGGTCTCTGATGCCATTCAGACGAGTGCCCCCTGCCTTTCCCACCACCCGCCCCGGGACTCTCCAACTTGCCCTTCTCAAGAGCATGTCCTCCAGCACCGCAGTCAGCTTCCTGGCTCTCAGGAACCTTCTCTCTCCCCTTGCTCTTCTCCTTGCTCCCAGGCTGGTCTCTGAACTACACTACTCCCACAGGCCAGTTTGTTTTACAGGAAAGGAAACTGAGCCAAAGTTAAGGTCTGTTTCCTAAGTCTATAAAAATTTGGTTGGAATAATCTTGAGAAAATACCCTAAAAAGGCCTGTTCTATCTATCTATCTATTTATTTATTTATTTATTTATTTATTTATTTAATTTTATTTTTATTAAATTTTTCTTAATGTTTATTTTTGACAGAGAGAGAGACAGAATATGAGCGGGGGAGGGGCAGAGAGAGAGGGAGACACAGAATCCAAAGCTGGCTGCAGGCTCTGAGCTGTCAGCACAGAACCCAATGCGGGGCTCAAACCCACAAACTGCGAGATCATGACCTGAGCCAAAGTCAGACGCTCAACCGACTGAGACACCCAGGCGCACCTAAAAGGGCCTGTTTTAAGAAGAGAAGTCTGGGTAAAGGTCCATGGAGGAATAAAATCCCATTGGCCACGGTCCCATAGCTCATTTGTGGAACCACTGGGCTAGCATCTGGCTCCCCAAATCCCAGTTCTGTGACCCGTGTATAGTCACCACTGGTGATGACTTAGACTCTCTGGCAAGTGATAATAGCACTTCATAGCTGCAACATGAGTGTCTCAAGTTAGACATGGGGCAGGACTGTTGAACTTTATTCAGACATTTGTTTAAAGGAGCCTTTGGAATACCTCTCCCTGGAGAGCTTTGAGAAGAGCCATCTTGCTGGATCCCTGTTTTAGGTGCAGACCAGCCGGCAGGTGATATCCTCAGGGTCTGATCCTCCCTCCCTTCTTTCCCTGACACAGACAGTCCAGTGCTCAGGCCAGCTAGTCTTTCTGGCAGATGAGACCTCTTCAGGGTGGCCTCTTAATTCAGCGTTGGCAGTGGGGAAAGGTCAGCTGGGGGGCCAGCTTGGCCTTGGCTGTGCTCTCTGCTTACAGCAGGGTGGCGGATAGCCTATTCATCACCACCACCCCGCCCCCACCCCCTGCACCAGCAGTCTCCTTACTCATAGTCACAGTCCTCCAGGCTCAACAAGGGCCAGCAGGGCAGGGCAGGCTGTCGGCTGTGCCCTCTGGCCCCAGAGCTGGACCAGGGAGGTGGTAGCTCCTGCTGAAATCCCCTTGCCCTCCCTCTCCCCAGCCCAATGTCCTTCTTTATGGTTTAATCCTACCCAGTGGTCAAGGTCCAGCTGAAGGCTCACCTGACCACCCAACCTGAACTGACCCCTTGTGCTCTGAACACACTGTGTGTTCCCTGTCTGTGGCACGCACTGGAGTTACAGCATGGGCACACGTCTCTCCTCAGCTAGGTGGCAGTTTCTTTGAAGATGGAACCTCTTTTCATAATTGCATTTATAGTAGTAGAGGACACAGGTGGCTCCTCATAGTTTTCTGAGATCCCTTAGATGCAGCTTTAGCCCCTAGCAGGGTGGGCCCATGGCGCACACTCAGTATTACTTGTTGACTGGTTAGAGCCACGGGGCTGGAGTTGTGGTCTGTCTGGGTTTTCTTTGAGTTAAGCGCTTCAGACCTCCTCTCTGGGGACCCTCGGTGTCTCAGCACGTATGTCCCCCATCCCCGCTGCTGCTCACAGACCAGACAAGACATCTTGTAAGGCCCTGCTCGTATGGAGGTGGTGGAAGCCGCGGGGACTGCATGGGGGATGGCCAGAGCCGAAGCGCTTCCCTGCAGCCTCTCAAGTGTGCAGAAGGCCCCAGGAGGAGGCAGGACTGTCAGCCTGCTGTAGAGTGGAGGGGAGGAGGTGGCCTCTGAGAGGGCTCCCCAAGTTTATGTGGGGCCCACAGCCCTGTCACCTCCTTGCTCTCAGGTTACCAGTCTCCCACCAAGGCCTCAGCTTCTTCTTGCTGCTGGGAGATCCGTGGGATCCAAGGAGGGCAGGAGGGAACCTGTAGAATCCTCACCCCAAGTACCCAGTCAAGGTGGCCAGAGGATGAGGGAAGAGATCTCCCAGATCGTCCTGTGTGCCTGCCTTTTGTCCTTCTTCTGCTGAGAAGCTGTTGGTGTCTCTGTAGGTCGGAATGAGCTGATTGCCCGCTACATCAAGCTCCGGACAGGCAAGACCCGCACCAGGAAGCAGGTGGGCCCTGAAAGATGAGTGTGGGTCCCAGGGGCAGGTACCCCAGTTCCAGCCTGCTCCCATGGTGGGCCAGGGCCTCTGTAGGCCCCAGTGTGGATTCCTGGTGGGGTTGGTTCAGAGGGGTTGTGTCTTTTTGGTGTGCCACAGATAGTTCAGTTTCCCTGTGGTTCCTGTTGCTATCAACTGGGAGGAAATCCCTCACCTTACAGGGGAGTCAGCAGCCCCCTCCCCTCTCCAGGACACCAGAAGAACAGAGGACAAAGTACTGGCACTATACTTGTATTTATTGCCAAAGTCTGGATTAGCTGGATATGGAGGGATTGAAGGCCCACCATTGACTGGCCCTTTCATTCATTCATTCCACAGATGTGGATTGAGGCTGAGGAGGGCGGTGCTGAGGGTCAGGGAGCCAGAATGGGGAGCACAGGCCTTCTGGGAGGTAGGGACAGGAGCCTTCTCTTCCTGCTGCAGGTCTCCAGCCACATCCAGGTGCTGGCCCGTCGCAAAGCCCGCGAGATCCAGGCCAAGCTAAAGGTAAGGCAAACAGCAGCAGTGGGAGGGAGGACCTAGGGCATGGGTGGGGCCAGCTTCCTAGAAATTGGAGCTCCTTTTCCAGCAGGAAAAGTCTTCCCTTGGGTTCAGGGGCTGGCTGTTTGTGTGCAGAGCCAGCATGCTTGTTGGTGTTAAGAAGACTGGGATTTAGCCTATAATCGTGCTCCTGTCTATATAGGGAATGACACTTGACTTCAGAGCCGTGTGTGTATGTGTGTGTGTGTGTGTGTGTGTAAGTATGTGTGACCACCAGGCTCTAGAGCATCCCCCCTCCCTGGACAGAGTACTTTCCGAATCACAGTGGGATTGTCCTCCATATCCCCTTCCTTGAGGACGTCCTTGAGCCACTGGCCCCTTATTTGCCATCTGCTGAGCCTACAGGGTGGTCAGGCTTGGGAGGCACTGCTGTGGGTAGTGGGGTGGGGGTGGGTTGTACTGTGGGAGCTGGTGGAATTCCTTCCTGCACTCTGCTCTCTGAGATGGGCAGTTCTCTCCCCTCCCCAGGTCAGCCCTACCTTACAGGGCCATGCCCCACAGGACTCCCCCTGGGGCACTCTGTTCCCCACAGGACTTAGGCCTCCTGGTCGCTGGAGCCAGGGGACCCTTTTGGTGAATGGCAAGAGGGAGTGAGCCCCCACCCCACCATAGACACGCTTGTAGTAGAGTTTTCCCAGCTACTTGGCAGGAAGAGCTAACATCTGAGGGAATCAGACTGAGTCCAGCAGTTAACACACTTTTTTTTAAGCAGCCAGGTCCCCCCTTTCCCCCCCCAAACAAAATATCACCCCCATATGTTATCAAAGGGGCTACTCCAGTCAAAGCTAGGTTAGTGAGGAATAGGCCAGAGACCCTGCTCCCATCTGCTTCTGATGCTCTGTGGCTCTTGAACCCCAAAGTAGCTCATAACCCAGTTAAAAACCCCTGAACTAGAGGAACTTGAAGGTCCCGTGTGGCTTCAGTTGTCCGTGATCCTGACATGGGAGGCTCCAAATGAGTGGTGGGAACTCCCAGGAAGCCGCACCCCGCTGCCCACTCAGCCCAGCTGTCCCCAGCCCCCACAGCTGCAGCCCGGCACCTCGTTCCTTTGTCCCTGGGACAGCTGGCTGGGCCTCAGCTGTCACTCCCTCTCAAGCCAGCACACGTACCCTCAGACACCCTTGGGTCCTGGAGTCCAACTTGAGCCCCACTTTCCCTCTCCGGTCTGCCTCTCACTGGGACCCTGGCAGGGGGCCAGAATGGAGACAAGACTTTACAGTGTTCTGTTTACAGCCATCCAGGGAAACTTTTAATTCCCTTGGGGACCATCTGTATGGGCACATTTGCTTCAAGGAATCGCACCTACCTTTGTCCACATGCTGTAACTTGGAGGCCAGGGAGAGCCTTCGTAGACCACTGGATGGACATCAAGGGCAGCCATGAGCCCCTTAAGTAATATGCAAATATTTATATGAGTTTTCTTGGGGAGATTGGTTTGAGGATTTTGTCATATTCTCAAAGGGGTCTGTGACCTAACATAATCCCTGGTGGACAGACTTCTATTAGATAGAAATCCTCCAGGACCCGGGATTTGGTGTAGCATGCTCTGCCCTTGTACCATGTGAACTTGGATGAGTCACTGACCTTCCTCAAGCTCCATTTGGTTTAAAATGTAAAATGACAGAGTTAAGCAAGTTGACGTCTGAGGTCCTCTCCAGCCCCAAAATTCAGTGACTCCCTGGCCTTATAGCCTGGCCATTTGATGTCACTCCTCATAATGTCCTTCCTACTTCCCCCTGATTCCTGTCCCACCCTGGTAAGGACGTGGTTTCCTGAATCCCAGTCATTTGTTTAGATCAGCTATCCGGGAAGGGACGTAAGTGGCTGACATTGAGCGGATGGGGCTCTCTGGCTTCATAATGTAGTTGTTAACCACAGAGGTCTGCAAGCTTTGGGAGGGTATGGCCTGCTGCATCATACATGTCCTCCTGGAGGGAGAGGCCTGAGCCAGCTGGCCTGGGCGTGTTTGACTTCTTCCTCCTGAACAGTGCAAGTGTCCTTGGGAAGAGGCCACCTTATGCTGATTAGCTCCCTCTTTGGTTATCAGGGAGCCTCTGAGAGCAAGGCCCAAGTTTGACCCCAAAAGGACAGTGGTTTGAGGATGACCCGTCCACTCAGAAGGGTATCCTGTGTGTTCTGTGGTGTGCGCTGGGTGCTGGCAAATATCAGTGTCCATCCTCCTCGCTCCCTGCCCCAGTGTCCTCCGCCCCCCTGCCCCAGCCCTGCAGAGGCCCAGAGGTAAATTGGTAATGCCAACCGGGGCCAAACTCTCAGGCCAGCCATCACCACTGTCAACACCGTAGTCACATAAATTCTCTGAGCCTCGGTTTCTTCATCTTAAAATGGGGATCCTACTGGTCCTGTTGGCCTCACAGGAGTGCTGTGATGTTCAGAGTCCACGTGTGGGTCACCTTGTGCCAAGTGAGTGCAGATGGTCCTGGAGAAGCTGAGTGGAGGGGCCTTTGGAATCCTGCCCCACAATCACGAGGTGTTGGGATGCTGTTGGGGGCCACCAAGGTGGTGCCCGCCTCACAGGGCTACGGTGGGGACTCAGTGAAACTGTCATAGAACGGCACCTGTAGGCTGCAGGGACCTCCATCGCTTCTCCGGGATGACTCGGTTATGACTCAGGACAGATCTGGGTCTACCAACTTCATTACCAAATAACAGCTAATTTATTTTCTCTGTTTAAAAATATTCATCGTAAAGATAGAATTTCTAATCTGAGCTCCTGAGTTGACATAATCCAATCTTTTGGCCTCAATTAAGCTATACACGCTGAATAATACTTGCCATTCCAGTCTATAAATGTGGTCTTATTTTGGACAAAAACACAGTTCCCATCAGGCTTTTTGAAATACAGAAATCTCAGTACTGAAATACGGTCTCATCACTTTTGAAGACCTGTGGGATTAGGACACTCAGGATAGGAACTGCTGGCTTACACACATATAAAAATTGTTACTACTATTATTATCATCATCACTAATGTCATTAAGTGCCTGTTTGTTCCTCACATATGCTTCCCTGAGTACTTCTTTGTTCAGAGCCGGTGCAGGGTGAACCGTTTTTGGGGCCTTTGGACCCAGGGAGGGCAGACCGTACGTGTTTACATCCTGACATGGAAAAGTCTGGGGGTGCCTTGGGTGTCCACAGTGCAAGGGGAGACCCCTAGGGTAGGCCTGAGACAGGTGGGGCCACAGGAGATCGCCCCATGCCTCTAGACAGTTTGTGTGACCGAGGATGACCCCTACTGTCCATTCGAGGAGGGCTCTGACATATTTATGTATCATCTACTATGAGCCAGGTACCATGCCAGCTGCCAGTGGTGTGGAGGCGAGCAAGGACTAAAAAGCTTCTGTTTTCAAAGTATCCTCGTGGAGACACCGCCTGGCAGATGGTCTCCAAAAGGCCCTTTGAGCTCTAATAAAATAGGCTGGACACATATTTTGCCCCTTTGACAGATGAGGAAACTGATCAGAGAAACCAAGTGACCTGCACTTAGTCACAAACAATGTTAATAGCACTGCAGGGGCGTGAGCCTCGGCCCTCAGGGCCTTGTCCAGGGCTCTGGCCACTGGCGATAGGACAGCTTCCCTGAGCACAAGCCCGGATCCCGCCTTGCCCATGCCTGCCCTAGTGACCACTGCTGAGGCCCTCCCTTCCAATGTCTCCCCAGGACCAGGCAGCTAAGGACAAGGCCCTGCAGAGCATGGCTCCCATGTCGCCCGCCCAGGCCATCTCCGCCACAGCCTTCCACAGTAAAATGGCCCTCGCCCGGGGCCCAGGCCACCCAGCAGTCTCAGGGGTAAGTGGGGCTGCCTGGAGCCAGAGGCCACACCAGCCCCTCCTTCTCACTCCTCCCCCTCCTGAGGAGCCAGAGGCACTGGCCAGGCCACATTTCTCTCACTTGAGTCCTCCAAGGCCAGGAGAGCCAGGGGGAAGGAGGGACCAAGGGCCAAGGGGCCACGCTGAGGCACAGCTCTGCTGGCATCGGCACCACCTTCTCGGGGGCCTTGACGGTGACACAGCAGACCTCCCACAAGGGGCAAAGCAGCTCGCATTAGCTGACCAACCAAGGAGCTCTACAGAGTTGGCTTGATTGACAGGTGAGGGGGCTGATGCCTGAGTCTTTGGTGTGACACCAGCATGCTCCTGAGCAGCTCTCCACCACTCGGCCCTGTCCCGGCTCCCCCCTCCCCTCTGCTCCTCAACACTGTTCTCTTTCCAGTCGGAGAGCTGATGTTCAGGAACAAACGCTTGTTTGGGTTTTAAATTTCTTGGCCACGGCCAGCTTGGTCACCCTTTCAGAATGATCTAGAAAGGCTCCTCCTTTCTAGGGCTGTGTCCTCACAAAGTTTTCTTGGCTATAGGGTCTACATGGGTCTTCACCATGCACCCATAGCACTGCCCTAGGCGTGTAGGGAAGGACCTCACCCCATGCTCGGTGAGCCTCTCGTCCAGGAGTTTTCAAAGTGTGCTCCAGAGACTGCTAGTCCATCAGAATATTGCATAGATAGGGAACAAAATAATTCTGTGCGTAAGGAAGTTTGGGACGCTTACAACTAAATAGGTTTCTTGACCTTGGACTGTTCAGGCCTTATGTGCTGCTACGCACTGTGGGCCTCTAAGGGAGGAATACAGTTGCTGTAATTCTAAACCTGGGGTTTCTCTCAAGGAGCACCTTCTTGGCAGAGTGTGTCTAGAGACTAGAGCTCCTTGAAACACACTTTGGGACACTGCTGTAACCTAGCCCAGTGTAGCAGTGCTGACTCTCCTTACTGCCCACTGGGTCTAGGCCCCCAATCCTGCCTTCCAGATGAGGCCCCTGCTCGGTCTTCCCACACCACGGCCCTGGTGCATGGGGCTGTGCTGACTCTGTGCTTTTTGCCTCCTCAGTTTTGGCAAGGAGCTTTGCCGGGCCAAGCTGGAACATCCCATGAGTGAGTATGGCCTGCTACCAGTTGCTCTCTGAACTGAACTTGAGCCTGTGAACTTGTGCTGTGGAGCCTGGCTCCCAGTATGGGACAGGGTAGCAGTCTGGGGACAGCCTTTCAGGAGGGGCTTGAGCTTTGGGATCAGGCTGTCCTGCTTTTTAGGCAGTAGCTCAGTCTGTGGTGTGGACACTCTGGGGTGGCATTTGCTGAAACTCCAGTCTGTCCAGGGTGAAACAAGGCCAGAGCTTGGGACCCTGAGGGAGAGAGGCTAGGAAGCAGACCTCTGGCTGGCTTGGGAGGGAAGGAAGGAGGGAGGAATGGATTTTCCCAACAGACATGCTGCTTCTGTGGGTCATCCATGAAACTTGAGGGACTTGGCAGGGGAGGGAGCAGGTGGCCAGAGCCCATTAAGGCCACTTATGCTCAGACCACTGGGGCCAGCCACACACAGCATTGGACACTGCCAGAGACTCCTGGGCTGCAACCTGCCCAGGGCTTACACCTCCTCTCTCCTGTCTCCGTAGTGTGAAACCTTTCTCTCAACAAACCTACGCTGTCCAGCCTTCGCTGCCTCTGCCAGGTGGGTCGGCAGCGCACAGCTCCCGTGCACCTCGCACACCTGCAGCTCCTGCCCTCCAGGTCCCGACCCCCCGACAGCTGGATGCCTCATGCCCCTGTTAGATGCTGCCCTGGCGTGTGCTCAGTCTCCTGGCCCCACCCCATTCTGTGCTCCTGCCACGCACACCTCTGCCGTGCACCAAGCCCGCCATACCTCTCGGGTTGTTTGATACACTCAGGGCTTCCAGGGGTGCACACGGGTCAGAGGGGGTGGTCCTTGTGCCCCAGGGCAGCTGTCCCCCAGCCGTCTTTCTATGCTGCATGTGTGTCCTGTGCAGCTTGGCTCCTGGGATGGCTTCCCTCTTGGTGATGCTAAGATGTCTCTTTCAAAATGGGAGGTCCAAGGAGAGCGTGGCTTTGTTGCCTGGAGCCACTTGTGAGCAGAGGGAACACTCCTGGGCAGAGGCCTGGAGCATGGGTAGGGCCCCTCCCTCTCACTGCTCAGGTAACCTGCCCTGTCTTTGCTTCTTTCTCATGGAGGTCCCTTACCTCCTTCCTCTCTGAAGGGCAAGACAGGATCCTTCCCCTTAACCACCTTTTCTGGCTCGGGGAATGACTCCCTGCTGACCTTCTGGCCTGGCTGGTTCTGTTCTGAGAGCAGCCCATCACCCTCCTGGTGTCCTTATTGCTACTTTCTCCCAGCACGAGCGATCCACCCTCCTGTGTGTCCCCTCCTCTCCCTGGCCTCACTGTCTTGGTTCAGGCCCACCTACTCTTGCCTGGATTACTGCAGCAGCCTCTTAACCTGACACCGGTTTTATCTCGCTTCCCCTCTTCACCCTGTAATTTACCCCAGGGACCTTTATAAAGCATCAATCCCACCATGTGGTTCCTAGGCTTAAACTCCAATCCTAAAATAAATAAATAAATAAATAAATAAATAAATAAATAAATAAATAAATAAATAAATAAATAAATAATAAACAAACAAACAAACAAACAAACTAACTAACTCACTCCAATCCTGGCTCCCTGGTGCCTTCTGGGTACAATCTAAACTCTGTAGTAGGACTTGCATGGACCTCCTTGGTAATTTAGCTTTCTCTCCTCTCCCTCCTTCCCTCCATGCCCCCAGCCCCGCCCTGCCTCTGGGCTGTTGCTCAGGCCTCCTGGAAGCTCCTCTGCCCTGCCCCCACCCAGTTTAGGCATCCTGAGCGCTCTGCACCCCCATCTGACACTTGACACTCTATTGCCAGTATCTGGGGTTGGGGGGCAACGTCTGTGGCTGACTGGTCTGTGTCTTCTGTGTATCCAGTCATGTCTGGCACATAGCACTTGTTCAGTGTCCAGCATGGCCCTCCTCCCACCTTGTGTTTCTTCTCTGTCTCCTTCCTTGAATGCTCCCGAGTTACCCACCTCAGCATGTGGGACTTCCCAGCCTGGAAAGCTGGTGTCTGGAGTTCTGTCTCACTGCTTTCTCACATCCCGTCAGTCACTAAGGCCCAGGATGTGCCTCCTCTATCCCTTACTCTTCCCTTCACTACACCGATTTCATTCAGGCCATCATTTTTCCACTGGGAAAACATCCCTGGGACCAAGCCTCTGACCGCCTCACCCCTGCCCAGTCCTTCCCTCACACTGAGTAGGATCTTTCAGAAATGCATGTCTGATCAGTTCACTGTCCTCCCTAAAATGCTCTGTCCCTGTCAGACTCTCAGGCTAAAATTCATGCTGCTTAGCACAGTTCCCCCGTCCGGCTCATCTCTTGTCTTCGTTTCCTGCCACTGGCACAAACCCACCCACTCTCCAGTTCCTCTGAGGACGGGGCTTCTCACAGCCCCTAGTTTGCCTCTGCCGTGTCCTCTGCTTGGAGCACCCTTTCCCCTTTCTCCCCTCCTGCCTGTACTTACTATTTCCTTCAAGCATCACTTTCTTGGGAAAAACCTTCCCTGCCCACCCCCAAGTGCATACTTTGTCAATTCTTATCACACTCATTACTTCTGTTATTAGCAAACCTGTAAGGAATGCCAGGCACTGTTCTAGGGGCTGGAGAGACTGCAGTGAACCGATCCGGAAACTTCCAGTTCTCACGGGGCTTCCATCACTATAGCAGTCAGTGTGTCTGGTTATCTTTGACCGGACCAGAAGCTCCTCCACAAGAACGTAGTTGTGCTGCTCGGAAGCCCTCAGCCCAGCTGGCATCCCGGCCCCTCCACGCGGCACCCATTTTCCCTTGAGGACAGTTCTGTACGGGGGGCCCAAGGGGCCTAACTTGTACTGGGCCAGGCACTCCCCTCCACCACCCCTGCGGGGGGGGGGTCCCATTTAGGGGAGGCAGGAGATGATTCCCTTGCCAGCACAGGGTCTCACGGCTGGGCCTGGGATCCTCGCAGAGGCTGAGGCGTGGACCCGTCCCCATGTGCCTTTCCTGCTGCATGCAGGGTTTGAGTCTCCTGCAGGACCCGCCCCATCGCCCTCAGCGCCCCCGGCACCCCCATGGCAGGGCCGCAGTGTGGCCAGCTCCAAGCTCTGGATGTTGGAGTTCTCTGCCTTCCTGGAGCAGCAGCAGGACCCTGATACGGTAGGTCCTGGCCTGGGTCTGGCTGGCTCTCCCACCCTCTCCTGTTCCCGGAGGTTCTTGCTCCCATGTCTTTCCAGCTCTTTTTCCACCTGCTTCTGGCTTCCTGCCCTGGCCTTCTGCCCCACTCCACTTCTGGGTTTTACTTAGATGTCCTGTTGCTTCCCAGTCTTCCCTTCCATTGGCCCTCCCCCTTTCCTTCATCCTCCCTCTCTCTTCTTTCCTCACTTCACCTCCCTCTTTCCCTGACACTGTTGATGCTCCCACCCCAAAGCCATCCCCTGGTTTCTTTTTCTATCCCGGTTCTCCTGGCCTCTCCCTCTGCTGCTCCCTCTCTGATCTGTACTCTTCCCTCCGTGCTCTCTGCCCTCCCACCCAGCACCACCCCCCCTTTCCCCTGTGGCTCTGAGGAGCCTCCTGTGTCTGACCCATATCTTTGGGACAGTAGCAGAGAGAGGAGCCCCATCCCCACCCTGTCTCCTTCAGGGTCCCGTGTCCCTGGTGACCAGCGTTACCTGCAAAGGTCAGAGGAGGAGGAGGAGCTAGAGAAGGCTGGGCTGACAGGGTGCCAGAGCCTGGGGGACTTCACAGACCATTTCACACTGATGTTTTCAAACTTGTTTTTTCAGCTGAGGCACCCATTAATCATACTCTTACTCAGAAACCCAGTGGGTACAACAGAAGAAGTAGACTTTGGTTGTAGCCAGGTGCCTGTAAGGGGACACAGAGGCAGCCTAGCCCCCATCTATAGGGTGGAGCACTGTTTGAAAACAGCTTATCTAGGTCAGTGGTCTGACGTGACAGATGAGATAACAGAGGCCCAAAGATAGAAAATGCCCACATAGCCAGGGCAAGAATGATACACATAACTGCAATTTATTGAGTACTGACTAGGTGCAGGCACAGCACCAAATGCTTTATACCCGTTAACTTTGCTTTACATTTGATCCTTTTACTGTCTCCAGTTGGGAAACTGAGGCCCAGAGAAGTGAAGTCACGTGCTCTAGGTGGCATGGCTGTGATCTGAGCTCTGGGCTGCTGTGTCTGCCCTGATTCCTTCTACCTGTCCCTGAAACCAGCTGTTCTCTCCACAGTATAACAAGCACCTGTTTGTACACATTGGCCAGTCAAGCCCAAGCTACAGTGACCCCTACCTCGAAGCCGTGGACATCCGCCAGATCTATGACAAATTCCCAGAGAAAAAGGGGGGACTCAAGGAGCTCTTTGAACGGGGACCTTCCAATGCCTTTTTTCTTGTGAAATTCTGGGTAAGCCCTTTGATAAACTCTTCCTTCCAGTCCCTAGTACGTTGATGATAATGAGGAGAACGGAGGAAGAGTGAGCATAAGGTGCCCTTTCCATGAGTGGAAACCCGGGGAAGGCAGGGCCAGTGCAGAGTGGGGAAGCAAGCACAAAACGGCCACACAGTGGCGGGAGGCTGAGACAGGGAGCCAGCCAGTGGTGCTGGAGGGCCGAGCTAGCAGAATCAGTCCCTCTTCTGAGAGGTGGTGATGGCATCCGGGTCTGGCCAGGAAATGCAGCCTCTAGGGGGCTATAGCACTGCAAACAGACTTCAGGAGACACTGAAGGGGGCATAGGCAAAGAGCCATCGTGGAATGTTTGCCAACTCCTGAGCTGGTTTCAGGGCTGGAACAGAGCAGCTCTTGGGCTGGGCAGGGCTTGGAGAAGTAGGCCGTAGGATTAGGATAGGTCACCCCAAGAGGAATACCTACCCAGCTTGTCAAACAGCTGAGCCCATAGGCTTTGCCTCTGCTGCCTTCCCTGCCTCACCCCTGGACGGGTTCTGTGTTGGGAGAGCCCCCTGCTTTTGAAACATCTCCTCTAAGACTAGGAGGTGTAGTACCTGCGCTGGGAGCTTACCTTCTGGGGGCCCAGTATACGCAGAAAAGGGGTGCAGGGAAGAGAGTCAGACAAGTGCACACTAAGCCAGTGGTGAGGAAGTGCAGAAGTCCTTCGGGCATGCTGATTGGAGCCTTTGGACAGTTTCAGAGTATTTTACATATAATTCCAGGTGGCTTAAAGGCCCCTGGCTGGGAATCTCCAGCCTGGGCTTCTATAATCAAACCCACAGGCCTGGCTATCTTCAGAAGAGACAGTGCTAGAACTGAGACTCGGGGCCCCTGAGCTTTAGGGTGCTTGGCTTTTACACACTGCAGGCTTGCTGTATGAGCAGAATGGAAGTTGGACCTGGGCCTTTAGGGATGGGTCAGATCTATCAGGATCTGAGCCTGGCAAGGGCTGGTACAGCCTGGGGGAGGCATAAGGAAGTGGGCTCTAGAGGGGAAATCATGGGTACAGGTGTGTGAGAGGGAATAATAGAAAATAAGACTGGAAAGGGGAGTTGGATCCTGAAGGTCTTGGTCATACAAGGTCTGGGTTTTAATCTATCCTGGGATGAAAAATAGGTTATATTTTCTTTCACTTTATCTTATTTTTAAATCAGTGAATATTAACTAATACCAAAGGCTTATAGTGAAAAGTGTCAGATTTTTGTCCCACTCCTCCCCAACCCCAATCCCGATCCCCAGAGGCAGTTGATGTAAATTTTCGCTTGTTTATTCTAGGTTTTATCTCCTGAGTTCAAAGTTCTACCTTTATATTGCTATACCTTGATATCACAACTAAGACATTTTGTATTTATTCCAGTACTGTAGAAAAGCATCAGCAATGTTATATCACTTTTCCTCTCATCACCTCAGTACTATCATATACAGTAAGTTGTATAATTTAATAAAAGCAATAAAATGTTTACATTTTTGACCATGCAAAATGACTACCAGAGAGCCAAGAATAATGCTTATGATGTAATTATGTGTTATGATCACGTTTTATTTTTTTGTACAACTTTCTTGTTTTTTTCTTACAAATAAATGGCTTTCTTACTTGCATATTTCTAAATAAACCTATTATTAAAATTTTACAAATCGTTCCATCATAACCATCATACAAATTTTTTTTTTTTATTAAGTTTTTCCCCAAATGCTCAAACCTATCAGATCATTCAGCAGTTTACCCTTTCTCCTGGAGATTTTCCTCCCGGGTGCCTCTGTTCTGCTCCAGCGACTGGTTATTCTCTACACCTAGACTGCTTCCACTTTTCTCCTGTATTGAATCTATGGCTTTCCACATCTCCTGTTTCTCTCTGTTTGGTGTCCCACTTATTTTGCTGGAAAACATTCTCTAGTACCTCCCTAAGAAAAAAATGTGTGATAGATAAATGTTCTAAGTCTTTGCCTGTTTGAATGCCTGTTTTTGGGGACCAGATCAATAGTTTGGGTAGAGAAACTAGGTCATAAATCATTTTCCCAGAAAGGATTTGCAAGAATCATTTTTCAATGTGTTGCTCCATTGTCTTCAAACACTAGTAGTCTCATTATATCCTAATTCTCTATCCTTTGTTGTGCCACTGAGTTTCGTTTTTGTTTTTTATCTCTGAAAAATTTGCATTTTCCTTTCTATCCCTTATGTTCTTAAGTTTCACATTCATGAGCTTTGGGCTGTCTGTGTTTTTACTTTCTAATTTTCAAGCCAGGCACTTTCAATTGTGACATTAGTATTTCTCAATTTGGGGAGATTTACTTATATTGTTTCTTTCCCTCTGTTTGCTCTGTGTTCTTTACCAAGAACCCCTGTTAGTCTAATGTTGGATTTCTTGGACCTATCCTCTATAAGTTTTATAATTTTTTTGTTGATTTTCCAATTCATCTTCTTGGAGATTTCCTTAACTTTATCTTCTAATTCTTCTAAATTAGTTAAGAATGTATCTGAGTGTATAGTTCATAAAACCCAAAGTAACAGTGGCATAAAGATGTAGTTTATTTTTCTTTCATGTAAAGTAAGTCGAGATGGACTGTCTAGGCTGGTCCAGCAGCTCCTTGAAATCACGGGGGCCTGTCTCCTTTCCAACTGTCTGCCATACACAGTGCATGGCTTCTGTCCTCAAGATCATGGCTTTTGGAGTTCCAGCCATCATATTTATCTCCCAGTTCCAGCCATCAGGAAGGAAGAAGCCAACTTCGTTCCCTCTATGGAGCCTTCTTGGAAGTCCCACACAGCACCTAATTATGTTGTATGGTTGCACCTAGCTGCAAAGGAGCCAGGGAAATGTACTCTTTTGGTGGAGTAAACTGCCATTCTCAATAAAATTAGGGTTCTGTGACTGTAGAAGAAGATGGATGAGTCTTTCAGTTGCTAGTGTGTCATAGTTCAGTTGGTGGCATTTTCCTATCTTAGTCATTCCAAAGATCTTGGCACATCACACAGTTAGTGGTGGATTAGATCAATGGAATATGGTGGCATTCTCTGCACCACCTTCTGTCAGATATTTAACTTTGACCATGACATTTTTAAGAGTTCCTTTTTGTTCTTTGAGTGCATCCTGATCTTGTTTCATGACTACAGTTTTTCTCTTCCTTTCTGGGGATACAAAGTTAGAATCATTTTTTAAGTTTCTTCTCCTTTCTTTGTTTCCTTTTAATCCCTTTTTCTATCTGTTTTGATGTCTGTATTTTAAGTTGGACAGTTTCCTAAAATGGTCATATTTTTTGGTCCATATATTTTTTTTAAATTTTTTTTAACATTTATTTATTTTTGAGACAGAGAGAGACAGAGCATGAACGGGGGAGGGTCAGAGAGAGAGGGAGACACAGAATCTGAAACAGGCTCCAGGCTCTGAGCGGTCAGCACAGAGCCCGACGCGGGGCTCGAACCCACAGACAGGGAGATCGTGACCTGAGCCGAAGTCGGATGCTCAACCGACTGAGCCACCCAGGTGCCCCTGGTCCATATTTTTTTAATAGCTTTCTTGTCGTATAATTCACCTGCCATAAAATTCACTGACTTAAAATGTATAGTTCAGTGTTTTCTAGTATATTCACAGAGTTGTGCAGCCAGTCAATTTTAGAACATTTTCATCACCTCCAGAATAAGCCCCATACCCTTTAGCTACCACCTCCTATGCTCACTCTCCCAGCCTTAGGCAACCACTAATCCTGTCATTATAGCTTTGACTTTTCTGGACATTTCATATAAATGGAATCATACAATATGTGATCCTTTGTGATTGGCTTCTTTCACTTAACATAATGTTTTCAAGGTTCAGCTGTGTTATAGCATGAATCAGTACTTGGTTCTATTTTATGGCTCACTTAGACTCCGTTGCATGGATATACCAAATTTCGTTTATCTGTTCATCAGTTGGTGAACTTTTGTGTTGTTTCCAACTTTTATGAATAATGCTGCTGTGAACTTCATGACAAGTTTTTGTGTGGCCGTAGGTTTTCATTTCTCTTGGGTAGACACCTGTGGAATTGTTGAGTCATATGGCAACTCTTTGCCTTTTTGAGGAGCTGCCAGACAGTCCCCCAAAGCAGCTGCACCATTTTACATTCCCCCCAGTAGTTGTATGAGGGTCCCAGTTCCTCCAGACCCATGCTGACAATTGATATTTTCTGTGATTATACTCATCCTAGTGGGTATGAAGTGGGATTCCTTGTGGTTTTGATTTGCATTTCTCTGTGCTTATCATTTTTGTATCTTCTTTGGAGAAATGTTTTTTGAGCTCCTTTGCCCATTTTTAAATTGGATTGTCTTTTATTATGGAGTCATGAGTTTATATATTATACATAGAAGTCCCTTATTAGATGTGCGGGTTGGAGATTTGTCTCCCAGTCTGTCAGCTCTCTTTTCACATTCTTGATAGTGTCCTTTGGAGCACAGAGGGTTTTCATTTTGATGAAGTCTGAAGTTCTTTTGTTGTTTACGCCATGCCCATATTTAATAGTTATTGGGAGCTCTGTGTGCAAGGTCGGACTTGACATCTGTTTTTTTTGTTTGTTTGTTTTGTTTTGTTTTAGGAAATCTATAAATGTCAGTATGTTTGTTAGACCTTTTTTTTCTTGAGGTGGCTCAGTTTCTCCATAGAAGACTCCTTGAGTTGTGCCCCTGGAAGGGGTATACGTGGTCACTGCATCCGAGGCATGAGGCAGCAGGAAGGGCTGGGGGGGCGCCAAACATTTCTTATGCGGGTTTCACGTAATTCTGTCTTCCCTGTTCGGGCCTGCCCAGGGTCCCTGAAGCCCAAAGCCCTCCTGTTTAATTTCTGAAGATGATTATTCCCTCGTCTTTTGCTGAAGGGTGGGAGAGGTGGCCCAGAGGCCTAACCGTCCTTGGTACTGCCTTTCAGTCAGTTCCTTGTGTAGAAGCCTGTCCCTCCCCTGCCCCCACTGTCCTGGTCCCTCCAGGCCAG